AAAGCCGGTTTTTTATCACAAAACGACTTCCGACAATTTCCGGCCATGTACACGCTTTGCATTCATTCAGCCTGGCAGACCCTCAAAGCAGTAGTTACAAAAAAAAGAGACAAAAACACGGCGCCTGAGCTAGCGGGGGTCGGTATAGTAGTAAGAAAAAATACAAGGGAAGCTAGCCCTCGCGCAAGAAAAGAGTGAGTTAAATCAATCATTATGCGCTCGCGCTGGGCTCGTCAGATCGTCACTGGTCTCTCCTCACAACCGATTCCTCACGAACCGCTTGCCGCCCTTGCCCTTGCCCTTGTCACCCTGAGCTTGGCCCTTTCCAGCTCCAGCTCCAGCCACCTCCGAAGCCGCAGGAGCAGCTGCGCTTGAAGACGCGGCAACAACAGCCTCGCTTGATGCAGCAACAGCTGGTGCGTCGGTTGCAACGGCGGCAACGCTCGACGGAACGGCGGCTTGTTGACCTTTGCCGCCTTGCTGGCCTTTGCCTGGTTGTTGATCTTTGCCACCCTTTCCGCCCTTTGCGGTCGCGGAGGCGCCAGCGGCAGAATCAGTCGCAACGGGAGACTCGGAAGCGACGGCCGAATCGGTGGCGACAGGAGCAACGGCAGAGTCGGTGGCAACAGCGGACGCAGACGCTACTTCGGTCGCAGAAGCGACATCGGACGCAGACGCAACAGCGGAGTCGGTAGCGACGGCAGAATCGGTAGCAACGGCAGATGCAGACGCTACTTCAGTCGCAGAAGCGACAGCAGAGGCGGATGCCGTCGAGTTGGTCGCATCGAGAGTGGCAGTGAACTATCCAACATCAGACAAATTTCTTCAAGAGAAAAAAAGAAAGAAAAAACAACTCACGTAGGTGCAGTCATCGAACGAACCGTGTTGGGCAATGGGGCCGATAACGGGTGCGTGGTTGGCCGAGGTGTTGATCGAGCAGACACGGTATGCGCCTGGGGGGACACCAGCGACGAGGGGGGTCGAGAGGACACCGTTGACACCCGCATCGTTGATTCCCTTGAAGAAGAAGAACTTCTGCGGGTTCGTGGCGGTGGTCTGGTCGATCGAGGTCAGCGCCTCGACGACAAAGTGTGCGTGGCCGATGATCTGGCCCTGGCCGTTGAGCCGTTGGGGTGCGGCAAAGTAGGTCTTCTGGGCGTTGGTGAAGCTACCGGCCTCCATGCCCTGGAGCGCCATGGAAATGTTGAAGGGCACGTTGGCTTGGATGGTGTCAAAGTTTCCGGGGAAGATGAACTTGGCCGAGGGCAGGTTGGCAGTGGACGGGATGAGACCGATGGGCGCCTGGTTGCAGGAACCGGTGGTGATCTGGAGACCGTTGGTGAGGGGCGTTCCCGGCAAGGTCTGGGCGCAGAAGTTGATGTAGTTGTTCGTCGAGGTCGTCGAGGCGGTCTGACCAAGGACGGGCGGGTTCTGACCATCATCGGCAAAGTTTGAGCAGATCACACTGGGGTCGAGATCTGCGGAAAATCATATCAGTATGTGTGCTTTTTTTAAATGCGGTTAAGAGACGAACCCAAAGACGTTTGGAGGGCCGCAGCGTCAGCGTCACCACCAGTTGCAGCACCTCCACCAGCGTTGTTGTTGTCGCCGGAACCAGTGCCAGTCGCGGTAGTTGTGGACGTCGAGGCGGCGGTGGTCGTTGTAGAGGAACCCTTGTCACCGCCCTTTCCACCCTTGTTGCCGCCCTTTCCGCCCTTGTTGCCGCCCTTGGATCCCTTGGACCCAGTGGCCGCTGTAGAGCCAGACGAGGCAGCGGTGGTCGTCGCAGCGGCGGCGTTGTTTGCGTTGGAGACGGAAATTGCCGCACCACCACCGTTGTTGTTCGATGAACCGGTGTTTTTGGAGCTCTCAGCAGTGGTTGTGAGGTATTTGGTCACCTCAACCGTCTTGGTCTGGACGACGGTGCTGACGGCGAGCGTGACGGTCTATAAATGCCGCGATCAGAACGGCGTTTGGTTGACGGAAACAGGCACAATGGCAAGAAAAAAAAAGACGCACGTTGCAGAAGGTCTCGGTCTCAAAGGTGCCCTTTGCCTTGGGCAGGGCATTGACCGAGAACGTCGAGAATGCGAGGGTGAAAAGAGCGAGGCAGGTTGATTTCGAGAACATTGTTGTTGATTTGGTGCGTAAGGAAGGTATAAGAAAAAAGAAAGGGATGCTTTGAGAGCTTGGGGACCGTAGGCCTGCGGCGATAAGTGGTCAGTTGGGTGGGGGGCGAGCGAGTGGGGAGCGTACCTAGAATCAGGACACCAGTGTCGGCGTTTGTGGAGTGTGCGCTGGGCGACACGGCAAAATAGTCAAGGACCGGAGAAGGGGAAGAAACGAAAAGGTGTCGAGTCGACAGCATGCTTGCCTTTATGTCGTTCTCATGGTCCAGTGATGTTGATCGCTTCCCAGATCAGGAACGTATCTCCCTCGGGCATAACACTCAAAAGTCCTCGACTCGGCTGGCGTGCCAAGGTTGAAATCGACGCCCACAATGCCAATGCCCAGCTCGTCGTCATCTGGCCCATATTCCCTCTCGAGTCCTCCTCCTCCGTCGCCAACTGTGTCCATGTCCATCTGTAGCCTTCAGATGTGACTAGATCAACGGCTCTGAAACACGCGCGGGGCAGAGTCCAGCCGGCGTTGAAACTATGGCAGCCCCGTCATCAGTCGCTATGTAAAGACGACAAGCACAGCAGGCTGTGGATCGCGCCGCTCTCCCGACCAAGTAACCATATGTGGCGATCGTCCTCTCGTCAACAGACAATCCCTCGGGCGGCGTAGAGATTATATCATTCAAGTCGAGACGAAGACGAACCAAGGGGAAATAGCAAGAGCCTCGCTATACTTAGAAAAAATGCCTCGACAGTGTCGACACGCATCACAAATCCTGCAGACATCACGTCAATCCTCTACTTCGGTCCAAGTATATCCGCCATCGACTCGACGAATTTATCGTAGTCATCCTTGCCCTTGGGCGCTCTAGCAGGAGGTGGGTTGGCAGCCGGCGCAGGGACAGGCACAGCGCCGAACTTGTCCTTCAATGAACCCAACAAGTCGGGTCGTACAGGAAGAGCCTCGTTATCATCGACCTCGGAAGACCCGGGCGCAGCGTTGATTCTCGATGCTGATCCAGATGCTGTTGCAGCAGCGTTCTTCCTACGCAAGTTGGCGGGCACAAATGCCGTCGCTTCCTTTTTGAGATCCCGTAGCTCTGGCGCAGCAAACACCGTCGCTGCCATCAAGCTCGCACTTTCTACGGCAGCCACAGGTTTCGGCGGAAGGGATTTTGCTGAAAGAGGTGGCGGAGGTTTAGGCGGAAGTGCTGCACGGGCCTGGTATGTCTGATGTGGAATGTTCGAGAGAGGATCCTGCATGGCCGACAGATTCCGATTGGGAGGAAAGAAACCAGGAGGTGGTTGGGGCAATCCATACGCGGGAGGAGGAGGAGGAACCCATTGAGGAAGGAAGCCGGAAGGCGGCGGTGGAGGTGGCATTCCATAAGCAGGAAATCCTGGGGGAGGTGGCGGGGGCAAACCGTAAGGTACTGATGAGGGCCCGGGAGGCAGCGGCGGTATGGGCGTGGGTAATGAACCTGGTGGCGGCCCCGCAGGCATTGGAATATCGTCGTCGCTATCAACCGCTTCCTCGTGTCCCAGAGGTCCTGGAGGAGGTCCATCTGGCATAACAACATCGTCATCTACATGGATAAGATTAGACCCAACGCAGAATAAAACAAACTGTTAGCGCGCACCATCCGAGTCTTGTTCGTCCTCAGAATCATCACTCCAGACTTCACCGGGCCGTTTGGCTGCGTCGTTTTGAGCACGACCACAATAACAATGAAGAAGCACAGACCTCGTTGCTGGTACGGCCTCCCAGGGGGCGCCACGCCAAACGGATTCATAACGGGGTCATAATACGCGCTGCGGTCAGGGTGGATCGGCAGCCCGTCGTTCCCAAACAGGTGGCGCTTCGGGAGCACGATCTCCTCGTCCGGCTTGTCCCCGTCGCGTTTGCCGCGATACACGAGCCGGCGCTGCTCAGGGTGCTCTTTCAGATACTCCTCCTTCTTCTGGTATATCCGGTCGAGCTCCGCCTTGGCCTCCTTGTAGCGTGCCTTCTCCTTCGGGTCGAGCGAGAACTCCAGGCGTTCGACTTCTTCGGCGAGGTCTGGAAAAAAAACAAAACACAAGTTGTTGGCAGAGAACGCGATGGCTATTGGCGTACGAACCAGTCACGTCCTTTTTCACGAGCGCCATGTCGCGCACTTTGGACCGGGTGTCCTTGTTCTACTAGCAGCGCGAGAGCGAGCGTCAGAAAGAAAGAACAAACTGGGTTGAACAACGAAAGAAACATGCCTTCTTGAGCTCTCTTTTCCGCTGAGCCTTGCCTGTTCGCGATATTCAGAATATGCATACGTACGACGAAGATTCAGACGTACGGAAGGCGTCGGCGGGGTTGACATTTTTTCCTTTCGCCATGATGGAGGGCGGCAAGCAGAGCTGCGTCGGGTCACCGTCACCGTCACGGGCCGTCTTGCCACAAACTTCCACTGGCCTACGCGTCGTTCGCACTTCTCGTCCTCAAAATACTAGTGAAGCACCTTGTCTTGTGGATCGAGCTCCGCAGTGTTCCTAGCTGGCGCACTGGGAGCTCAAGTTGTGCCGGGAACTGTCTGCCACAGGTGATCAAATCATCTCGTCTGGACTTTGTCCTGTTTCTCGCTGTTCTCCTCTCCGTCAACGTTGAAACAGTATGCTGGCTATATCGGCATCTTTTCGAACTCTCACCGCAAGATCGCTCGCCGTGCTCTTTGCCCGTCTGAGTTGCGGTCGCCTGCAGCTGGAGAACAATCTCACAGACGGCGTTGACCATTCAGTGTGTTCATGATCACCTTCAGGAAATTACCACCTCTCAAGTGGCCGGATAGGTCGTCTATGATGTGCAACTACAGTCGTTACATCATTCCATTCGCATCAATTGACATCAAAGCCTTCCTGGCTCAGTTGGTTTAGAGCGCCAGTCTCATACTTCTATGAGGGATCGTTGGATTTCGTAATCTGGAGGTCGTCAGTTCGATCCTGACGGAGGGCAGCGTTTTACCGTGCGTTTTATATGCTTGGGACGCTACTCAGGCAATCATTTCTCCTTGATCTTTTGGCTAGATACTGATAGTGTGGGCGGATACCTCGCTATCGAGGTGTCACGCCATTTCCATTTTGGGGAAAATAGTTGATGGTATTTTCCTCTGGGGTCCAGTGGGCGCAATTCTTACTCATTTGACTTAAAATTTGGGAGGGAGGCGGACATGTATATTCGTCATAATAATCTCGGATATCTAAGCGAAGTATAGCTGAATGATTCAATAATTAAGAAAACACTTCCCAGTAGCAAGGTAGGATGAATATCGTGCCGGGTTTGTATAAATATAGAGGCAAAGGCAAAAGAACATAGGCTCATCTCTTAGGCAGTGCATACACAGAGCAATTTTATTAAAACTACATGCATGCGACGAGAATGGAGTGCAGAAGTACGAGTAAGCTACATCCTCGGCAGCGTGGCCGCACACATCTCTAGCCCCATGTAGCATATGAAATATCCATAACAGAGCCCACGCACCTCATGCCTGCCTGCGAAAGAATCACCATGGAATGGCGTACACAACACCACCGGTCGCCTCGACATCAAAGGGTCGCATTGCAGATGGTGGAGCATTCGGGGAGAAATGTGTGTATGTGAGGCACTGGCACACTTACATGCATGTGAACTGCCAGCCAGGACCAGAAAAACCCAGCATAGCGAGAGTCAAAAGAGCGCAGACGCGTCCCATCACCCAGCTGTCACAATAGTTGCATGTGTTTGCAACGCCTTCCGCTGCCTCGGCGACTATGCCGGCCGCAAAAAAAAACCTTTTGGGGCAAGAGCTATCTGCATCAGCACCTGACCGGCCGAGCCGGCGCGTGGATACTGACCCAAAATGGTGATATCAGCTAATTTCCTGCCTGACAGGGCGGCAACAGTGAGCGCGCCGCAGGCGCCCAGAAAAAAATCCAAAAATCATGGATAAATTGGGGGACATTCTTAATGGAGAGAGGCATAATATGAGTGCACAAGAAGGGTTAGAAGCTCTCTCTTTTCTCTCCTCCCTCTCTTTCCTTTTCTCCTTTTTTGGTAATTAATTTTTTCTCTCCTCGCGCCCACAGCATAGGTATCGAGCCGATCTTTTTCCTTTCAACCTTCAAGTGACGCCCCAAGCGTTTGACGACGCTCAGTTGGCCTCCCGGCACAGGCATACCGCGTCTTGCAGCGCCCCAATCAAGTTTTGCAACCGCTGGTCCAAGAGGCTGTAGTATCTTTGGCCACACATCTGTCAACCCGCAACTTCTGAGATATTTTTGCTTGCCAGCCCTTGGCAAGTGCTTCTGCTTTCGCGCTCTCCAGCTCCCTCGACGTCTCTCAAACAGTCATATGTCGCTCCATTCTCTCAGCAACCGCTGCGGTCATAGGACTTCCATCCTCCTTGGGCAGATTCATGCGACCGCGTCGGAGTCAATCCCATTTTAACTCGATCACCTGCAACATCCCGTATCTTCATCATAGCTCGAGATGAACAAGTGCTAGGAAAAGAGCGGCTGCCCAGCTAGTACATCACGCCAGATCGTCTTTAAGACGACCACAGCGGAAGATGGACCGGCTCGGAATCTCGTTGTTTCCTTCTTCTCCGGGTTCTCGTTCTGGCTCTTTTCGTCTTCCATGCTGGCATGAGCTCTAGGATGCAACTGTACGCTCCACCGATTCCTTTCCAAAGCTCTCATCTTTCATCTTTAGCCTTTTTTTCTTTCTCGTGGTCCTCTGCCTCGACTGCGTTGACGCAAGACCAGTTCTTCACCCCTGTGGAGGGACTTCAACTGCCGAGTGCCGAAGCGGTGTACATAAGTCGAGGACGAGCTGGAGAGAGCATTCCAGAGCTTCTCGGACTCATGCTCTGAAGCAGAGTCGGGCCTCAAGGATGCCCTCCAGCGTAGTATCGTCCTCATCTGCGGGCGTTTCCAAATCAATCCAAAGGCATTCAAGTTCATCTCCCTCGGCATCTTCCCGATTGCCCGTTACAAGCACAACGTTGTCTCTGTCGGAGCATTCTGCAGCTTCTTGGTCTCGTAGTCTGAAGCAGACTCCGACCTCAAGAATGCCTTCCAACGCGGTGCTGTCGTCATCCATGGGCGTTTCCAAATCAATCCAAACGCCATTGTCATCTTCTCGACTTCCCACATTGTCCTCGTCAGGACCGTCATCCTTCACCTCAAGTCCCATTCCCTCTTCATCGCCGCCTTTGGGTGTTGCAGCATGTACTGTGACGGCCATACTATTCCTGCCGACCAGTTCTGCTCCAATCGCGGCGTCCTCTCTGCCAACTCAATTCGCGGCTTCGACTTCGGAACCCACGTTGACGGTCGTCTTGACCGCTCGCCAGCAGGATGTTACTACTGGACTTGGAGCACTCCTCACCATCCTTTCGGACTCTTCGGCTATAGTGCAGTCGTACTCCCAGTCCATTGGGCCATCGTCTTCTGATTTTTCGGTTACGCCAGCGTCATCGATATCCACGACGGATGCACCCGAGAGTACTACTACCTCGTCTGAGTCGTCTCAACCAACGTCGACAAATGCCGGTTGCGAGACGGTGACAGTGACGCGATATTATGTTCCGTACGTGGTTGTCGGGTTTCTTGTCTACTGCTTCTCATGATTTCGCCACAGTGGGGAGACCCCCTCCCCAAAGCCAATATCCATATCGCCGTCACAAATCGTCAATCCAACACCTAGTCTACCCGCTTCGAGCGCAGACGGATCAAGTCCAATTAGCGTAACGGCGGGTGCGAATGGACCTGTTGTACCCAGCACAACTCAAGAGCCTACAACCACGACCGAATTCATTCTTCTCGGTGGTGGGCACCGCAGTGGACTGCTATCCAGCAGGACCACCATTGTTACCACAATTTCAACGGCCACAGTAACTTCGGGAACGCGCGTTTTTACAACTGCATCTACAATTGTCGAAACGCAGATAACACTGGTGTCCACGCCCATCGCTGCTGCTACTGCCTCGGATGCGTCGAAGAGTGCAGCGTACGTTTGAAAACAATCCCATAGGCTAGCTGCTGATGAATTGTGCAGGTCCAAGATGGCAACACGTCGGCGCATAATCGCGATAGCAACAACGGTTGGAGTTTTGGGTGGCTTAGCCTTGCTGCTTACAATCTGCGTGTTTGTGCGACGTTGTCGACGTCGCCGGGCACATCGTCAGAGCCCTTCGTCCTCATTCTTCCCAGCTCGTCGATCCGGCTCTTCTCGCCATCCAGCGCGCGGACCTTCCCCCGAAACAGTGACTCCATTTCCGAATCCATACGATGGTCCAGCAATCAGTGTGGACGAGATAAACGATGCGCTCGACCATGCAGGACCAATCCTTCAAGTGCGTGAGCGGCCAGATGTTTTGCCTGCAATCTACATGACCGGCGCGGGACCACATGGGGTATTGCTCATTGCTGGCGCAAAAGGCCAGATTGAGTCCCGGAGAGCGTCGTTTGTGTCTCGTGGCGCGTCTCCAGCTTCCGAGAACCCCGAGGGATTCGCGTTCCATAGTTGGCACAGCGAAGAAGTTGCGTTGGGAGGACGCGTTCAAGGGGACCCGCCGCCGACGTATACACCGACATGACACGATTTGGCGCTTGATTTCTCCATTATTTGTGTAGTATACAGGCCAAAATTTTGTGAAGGGAGCAGTAGAAAATTTAGGGCCAGGAGGGTCTGGTAATTGCTCCTTTCTAAGTCCCAGAGTGAGGTTGGAGCCAAACGAAGAATCCGTTCTAGAGTCCAGTCAGTCAGTCTTCTCTCAACTTGAAATGCTAAAAAATCAATGAAACGCCAAAACTGGAGCAGTAAGCAGCTTGGAGCGACTCCGAAAACACAATGATATGCAAGAAGCTCTACCACTAGCAGTAAGTATATAGTACAAGTAATTAGCATTGCGTCTAAATCCCCTGTCAAAGCTTCGCACATCCCATGATCCTCACCGTTCCGTCCGGCTCTCCGACGCCATACAGCATCTCCAAAGGATGGAATTTTAATGAACTCAATCGCGGGATAAACGGCGACGGGAACGTCCGTGAGGGCGGGAAGGGAAGCCCACTGGCCATGGTAATGTTCGTGATGGAGCCGTCCCTCAGAGGCTGGACGGTGACGCGTTGTGTCCTCCATGTCCTGTGGTTGATTGAGCTAGATCTATGCCATGATATGATATGAGCGAGGATGAAGATGAGAATGCAAGATACACGTACGCAGCAAACACCGCAGCGTTAGCATGGCAGTCAAAGGCGGCAATGCCCTCATGATGCACATCCCAAGTCATCAGGGACTCAGAACCGCGAAGATCCCAGAGCTTGACCCTTCCATCCAAGCTGTTATGTATCAGGCATGGTCGTTAGCAAGAACAGACAACAGACCTGGCCGAGATGAACTGCGACTGTGAACTTGGATGGCGCTTGACGGTTTGCACCCAAGACTCGTGCTCGACATATCTTCGAACAACCGAGTTTTCCTCCTCCAGCCGTCGGTCAAAGAGTTTGACTTCGCCATTCGCAAAGCTAGCCGCGAAGATCTGTGAAGAACCCGTGTCGCAGACGAGACCCGTAACTGGACTCTCCGAATTGGTGTCGAGATCCTGATTCACTCGTCAGACGAAAATAGCAGGAGAAGAAGCAAAAAAAAAAACGCTGACCAGCATAGGCGTCTCCGTTTGCGCGTCCCACACTTTGATAATGCGCGAATCGCCAGCGACGAGTAAAATCCCCGCAGACTGTTTCCAGTCCATCACGACTCCAGCGCCGCCATGCTTGATGTTGATAATTTCCGTCAAGCCCCGGAACGCGCTGACCATGTGGAGAGGAGCCTGGTCAATGGAGGGATCGTAGTTCTTATACAGCCGAACGATGCCATCAGCTGTAGAGATATTAGTGTCAAATATGCGCACAAAGAAGCAAGAACGTACAAGATCCCGTCAAGATAATCCCTCCGACATCTTGGTTGATTACCTC